TCGAGTTTGGAACTAGAAGGTCGTTCTGTTGACGTCGCAGACATTTCGTTGCGACGAGTCCGCTTGGTGACGGGAGAGCTTGGTATAATGTAAGACCTGGGTCAGAATTGGTCTTAGGGTAGGTTTTGGTATAATGAGTTTATGTTGTAGCATGCTAGGAGCAGGCTGGAGCTCGAAGGGAGCTACGGGAACCGTGACTGAGGACAGGAATGACCTTGTAGTGGCTGGGATTGAGAGATATAACCCTTGAAGGGGTTCCTATAAGGTCCGGGAAGGTCCCTAAGGCGTAGGGAGGGGAGGTAGAAGTAACGGGAACCTAGTAGTGTTGCGTAGTAGGAGTTGTACTTGCTAGGACGTCAATGTAAGATAGGATAGGTCGTATTTGAGGTTGGTCTTGAGCGTGTAAGCTCCTGAGAAGATATACGCCCGGGAGGGGAGGTCCCAGAAACTGGGGCTTAGAGGTGAACATCCTCGAGTGTTGGAGGTTATAACGGAGACGCGGTACATAGTTCAACGTAAGGGGTAGCTTCGATGTTACCTAGATCGAGGTCCCAGAGCTTGAGGAGCAGTAGGGGAGCTCGAGGAGGTTTGGGGAAGGTTAGCTCACCAAGGCGTTAGGCGTTGGGGAGCTTTAGTATTGTTCGAGGGAGCTCGGAGACTCACTCAGATTGCTTAGACGTGAAGTAAAAGCGTATATTAGGCCATATAGACAATCGTAGAGACAACAGACGAGAGAAGAGAGAAACTGAGATAGAGAAACAGAGGTAAAGAGAAATCTGTATGGTTAGCAGGTACAAAGGGACAGGGACTGGACCTATGCAAAAGGGTGTGTATTCAAAATATACCAAGCTGGGGCTTGGGGGTGATGCGGAGCTACTTAAATAGGTACAGGAAGTGAACAAGGGATCATTAGGGATCTTGAGAACATGAGGCAGATAATCGAGAGAACTAGATGATCGAGATTAGTACTTGATGGGGTTAGTGGTAGGAGGATTCCTATGCATGTCAGGGTGGTCGTCAGGACGTTTAGGTAGCTGGGGAGGTGTCTTGGGGAGGTGCAGAGATAGATAGGGAGTATGAGAGCGTGAAGTATGAGAGCGTGTGGCTGGTACTGGGACTGGTCTGGTTGTAGCCAGGGCATGCCAGGTAGGCGCCGAGCATGGTCTTTACAGTACTGTGAAATTCATGCCCAACCACTAACACAAAATCCAACTGAGCCAAAAGGCTACTATGACAAGATAATTGTCATAGGTGGTTGGGACTATATATACCACATGTATTAAGACCTCTCCGCATGATCTTAACAGGCTGGCAGTAAACCAGTCTTTTAACTTTGGGAATCAGTTGTAAGCTCCCCGGGTCCCATCTCTGTCCAGTTCTATTGCTAACTGTAATGTCATCACTGCTGCCAGCTCTAGTAACTCTGCATCTTCCGTATAATTGTTGTCCCGGTCATGTGATGGGATATCATCATCACAGAGGTCCTCTAACAGTATGGAAGCTTTAATGAAGTTGTGCGCAGCAGCAAGGATGTCACACTGTATCTCTGCTTTCATTGCACAAGGCATTTTGAGTCAGATATATGAAGTAGAAAGTATTCAAAGAATGCAATTCAAAAAATTGCTATATTTTGTAACTTTTGATGTAATATAACTTTTTGATAAAACACAGAATTTTTGATTGAGCACGTCTTATGATGTAGAATATGGCAATGGGTTTTCCATGACACCCCATTCCCCATAATTGAGATGTACATAATGTTTCATCATCAACCCCTTAGCACGCCACCAGGTGAACCCAAATGCTGTTGTCGCAGGGTCGGCAGCATTATTCCAGGATGATGGTTCAAACTTGATTTGAGCGGCAGTAGTGGGTGATTGGATAAATTCGTCTACTAGGCTGTTTAGATGAGCAACAATACGTGCTTTGATAACTTCTGGTATTGGATGAGTCTTGTTGCAAGTCCCCGTGCGGGTGACTGTGACTGTGACAAAAATGCGGGAGGAGAGGGGTTCGGTTCGGATGTTCAAGTCCTTGGACGTAAAATTTCCGTCGTTGTTGGCACCGTCAGTGGCCTATGTATAAAGGAAAGGAAGGGATATGTTGAAAATAATGCAAGGTGATGTTCAAAGCTACTCACAGGGAACGGCGCAGCATGAATGACAGTGAGAAGCCCGATGAGTAGGTACAACGGACGAAAATGCATCTTCGAATGGGTTCAAAGTTCTTTCAGGGGACGGACTGCGGACTAGGACTAGGACGACTCTGGGATGACTGACCAGCAGTTCTCTTGGTAGTGGGGGCTCCTTGCCTTGAGTGTTTCTCAAATGTAGATCTTTTATATGCATTTGATCATTTCGCTTCCGTACCCTTCCGTACCAGTCCGTACCAGTGGTAGAATACCGACGGCGAGTTGGGGTTGTTGGTACGTGTTTGATGTGCTTATCGATAAATACATCACACGTAGATTTCCGCTGGTTGAAGTGCGCACAAGACCTCACAAGACTAACTTCCACAGGTGACCACTGACGGCTTGCGACAGCACCACCAGGGCATGGATCGCCTTGTAAGTATCATGGGGTATTATGCAACGCATTGTGACATTTGAGCAGTTTACATCAAGCCTCCGTCGGCCTAGATAGATAGATATGGCTCCATACAGATGGGGTCCCACTAGGGAACAGCTGGGCCCAACTGCCTCCACTGCCTAGTATACATCCTCAAACAGCCTTAAACCTGTTCACCGCTCGAGCCTGTCGCGTACACCTCGCTATGCATTCCTCTTATACCAGCCTACATGACCTCCGGGAGCCATCATCGTAAACCTTGATATCTTCATTGATGTTTTATGGCAATGTCTCTTGTGAAACGCCAAAGCACAAACTGCTCAGGACAGCTCAGGACAACTCAGGATCTAATGGATACTCATTAAAGTACTCATTGATGGATTTCTCATAGATAATCTCTGGTAATCTAGGTTATCGTTCACAGCATATATATGAAGGGACCGATAAAAACAACATAGGGCAAATTATAACGCTGGTTTGGTACGTCGACTATCTTTCTTTCCTCTAGACCTAATACTGCGTCATTCTTCAAATATTCCCGCTACATTCTCTCTCCTCGCTTTAAACACGACATCTACACCTACTAACTGAACACTTGTCAATATACATATCCCCGCACTTTGTCTTCGCTGTCCTGTCTCCTTGCTGATGCTGACCTCACACGAATTTTGCTTCCCAGTGAACATATTATATTGTCTTCAGGTGAAATCTGCTGGTCAAAATTTTACCTCGAGTTCTTCAGCACAATTGGTGAGCAGTCTAGCTTGTGTCTTCAAGTTTGCTACCTGTCGAGGCTGACAATGAATGATTGAATTGGCAGCGACTTGGCTTATACCCAACCCTCTCGGAACACAATCCAATGCGCTTCAACCCTGTCTACCTTGTCCTGGGCTTGCTTTCTGTGGTTTATACTGCACCTGTTGATGTGATTAATCAGTACTTATATTCCTAGACGTTAACTTACAGTAATCTCAAACGTAGCTGGGCAGCGATTTGGGCTCACCCTCGAACTTCGAGAAACCTCTTCGAGCACGGATGGAAGTCGAAAGAAAGCGCATCCACGCCCAATTTACTGGAAAATACGCTGAACAAGATTTTAGTCAAGAATCTTCTCGCCCCCCTGCGATTGTCCAAGAGCTCGTGCATGAAGGACTGGCAAAGTTGTTCCCAGAATTGACAAGTGACAACGAATGGATGATTGAGTTTGGCAATGATTTTGTTTCCAATGGCTGGAATCCTAACACCCGTGGGCTGCGTCTCACATGAAACATACATGGCATTGGTCATTGTACATATGTGTGGTGTACGGTTGACGGTTGGTACACGGGCATATTTTGGCCGAGATCCGAAGATTTCCAGTTGGGCGCGTTCCGTCACTAACTAGTCAGTCAATATGATCTGTTGTACCATTGCGTTTACCTCCACCCCCCACAATTGTGTCACAATCGGTAGGATGTCGGATACTATGCAATATGGATTATTGTGTCGGTTGTTGTGTTTACTGATCATGGCGGGAGTGACTCGAAGGATCGGGTGGGGGTGAGGAGGATGCAGACGCCTTTGGGGGGTTGCTCCTGGTCCTTGTATCCCTCCCTGATTTTATTCCATTCGTCCTAATCCCATTCGTCGTAATCTCATCCTTGAAGTTAGTGTCCCAATTCGACTCCCATTCAGTGAAGGGTGTGGTACGGTCCGAGGAAACGGATAATAAATCACCCTCGAAAGTGATTCCGTGAGGAGACACGACACCAGACGCGAGGTGGTCACGAATTACGCTTTCGTCTCGGGGTCAGTGAGCTGGATTTGGATTTGGGTGTGGGTTTGGGTTTGGGGCATCGTGTGGGTGGTTTTTACTACTAGAGTTCTGAGTTGGTGGCTAGAGTGGCTAGATTGAGCTGATGGATGTTTGAGAGCATGAGTGGTGGCTGGGATTATCGATGAGATGACTGGGGAGGTATTCCGCAAACACAAGACAAGTTGGCTCGATATCTAATATCCCGGTACCGGTATATAAGCTTTGAGTACTCCCCAGTGCCACCTCTGCGTTCCTGTGACATACTCAACCGTTTAGGTTAATTGAAATCAAACAGAGGATATCATTAGGCGCCGGCTATTATATCATACACGTTGTACCAGGTGCGATGTTTTTCTAGTGTTTTTGGTCCTCGTTTATGTGAATTTGTGAAAACGCTACTAATCTACGCCGCCGCCTAAGGAGTTTTTTCCAAGTTGAAGGTACCTATGGAATATTTTACACAGATTCGCACGATGTATGTGTAATCAAAGGAAACCCAAAGGTAGTATAGGTAGTATACTAGTAAAGGTAGTCGGAAGATAGTTTCAAAACAGGTAGTTTAGTTGAAAAAAATAAACCCAAGTCAAAGGGATTTGGAAAAACAGATAAAAGTGGTGGTAGTCGAAAAAAAAACTACAGGGCCTGACTGGGAATTGAACCCAGGACCTCTTCCAGTGAACGCAAAGGAAATGCAACCCAAAGGAAGAATCATGCTACTAGACCATCAGGCCTATGTATAATGGAACAGAGAAGGTATTCAGAGATAGCATAGACTCCAGCCACCTTTGCCAGTGGTACCTTTAAACATGGATGTATATTCTGAGACTGTGTCGTGACAACTTATACCCCAAAAACATCGATTCTCACCGGGAGCAGCGTCCATCCTCCCTCCAAAATACCTCAACTAAACAGTATACCCTACACTACCCTATTAATTTCCCTGCTATTTCAGTGATATCCCCGCGCTTTTCCCCCCTGGACCTGAAAGTACAGCTACCCCGACTTTCCATTCCCCTTCCTTAACCGACTCAACATGAGCAACCCCCAACTTCCGTCCCGCAGTATCATCCGTCCACTTGAACCCCTGCACCTGTGTATCACACCACGCGAAACGAAATGGCCCAGTCGCCGGATCAATCGCGGGGTCCCATATGGAACCAGGGAAAAACTTGATCTCGTCGACCGTAAGAGGTTCGGTGCGGAATTTTTCGGTTGAGGTTCCGGTTTTGGTTTCGCTTCCACCGTGATTGAGATGTGCAACGATGCGTTCTTTGACGGCAAGAGGGATCATGGAGTCGCCGTCTACGGAGTTGGGGGGATTCACAGCTCCAGTCGAGGAAGTTGAGGACGATGCGGAAGGGGGGTTTGGAGCTGGCGGTTCGGGTGATCAAGGTCAGGTGTCCGTCGGTGGCCTATATAGAGGTAATGAATATATTTTCTCTTCATTGTTGCAGGCACTTACAGGGAACGGCGCAGCATGTACGACGGCGAGAAGCCCTAGGATGAGGTACAATGGGGAGAAATGCATTACAGAGCCTGATATCAACGGTGCAATGTGATAAAGGTGAGCTGGCGGTGAAGCAGTAAAGCTTTTGTGACTCGGGGAGTACGTTGGAGGGTTTGTACGTTGGAGTGTACGTGTCAAGGACTGGCCAGCAGTTCTTGAAGGAGGGGTGGGGGAATCGATTTTCCTTCGATTCCCCTTCTTATGCGGTTTGAACCTTTCGCTTCAGTGCTTCACCCAGGGTCAACGAATCAGATTTCGTGATTGTGGTCAGATTGAGTTGTGAGGGTTGAATTTGGCACTAGTGTCTTCTATAATCTTCTATAATGCGCTTCAGACAGGGCAGGACGTAGCAGGACAGGGCAGGACATATATGCGCTTTTAATCGAATATCATGCGGTACGCACCGGTCCAGGTTCCCGGTAGAGCGGCTAAAGCCCACACTCATCAACGTTATGCAATAATGGCACAACTAAAATACTCAGAGTTATTCCTTTCTCTTTACCAAAAGCACCTTACTAGCATATCTCCATAGCACATCCTGCAGACGCAGCAATTATTAGCAATTATTCTGTCGATGGGTTTGCGAATCAGCGCCTGCCTCTAGAATTCGAAGTCCCGTCGGCGTCCCAACCGCAGATGACCTGTTTAGGTCGCGTCGTCCAGGTAGTCCAGTGCGAGTGTGATCTCATGTGGGTGATATGAATGGTGAGATTCACAGGTGCGACGGCTGTTTGTCCAACGTGGTTCATCGGTTAATTAGAACGAAATGAAACAACCGTTTTTGTGCTCAAGGTAAGGTCTGTACAAGGTCATAAAATCCGATGGTCGGATAACCCGTCGTCTCTCCCGATCGATTAATCGCTTTCAACATAGATAAATAAATAAAATCACGTTAAATTCTCCGGAATAAGTGATATTTTTTTTTCTTCCACCATCACAATTATCCCCCAATCTCATCTCTGATACCACAGTTATCCCACCAACGACTATTCCCATCTAGTCTAACCACCTACCCACCATCCAATCTCTACCATCTTTCGATAGTAACTACCCCTTTCACGGAAACTATGTCTCCTCCTTTCCGTGCAGAACACCTTGGTTCCCTCCTCCGTCCTCCTACCCTCCTTGCTACCCGCACCGCCATAACCAAAAACGAACTCCCCCCATCCTCCCTCCCCCCAGTTGAACAAGCCGCCATCCAATCCATCGTCCAAACCCAACTCACCCTCGGCTTCCGGTGCATCACCGACGGCGAATACCCCCGACACATGTTCTGGGGCTCCTTCTTCCCAAACCTCAACGGTATGAAAGAGATCTACGACCCCCCGATTGAGATATTCCGCGCATACGCTCCGGACATCGCTGCGTTCATCGAGAACGTGCAGATTCCCGGCGAGAGCGTGGTGTGCACGGGGAAGATCTCGCATACGGGTGAATCGACGTATGTTGAGCAGGTTAGGTATCTGCAGTCGATTTTGCCGGAGGAGAGGTGGGGAGATATCAAGTTGACGGTGGCGGCGCCGAATTGGTATCATTTGAGGTATATGGAAGGGAAAGCGTACCCGAAGGATGTGTATGTGGATGATAAAGAGTATTTTGGGGATATTGCGAAAGCGTATCAGGTGGAGTTGGATATTTTGTATAAAGCTGGGTTGAGGAATGTGCAGTTCGATGATCCGAATTTGGCTTGTAAGTGAGGATCCGAGCGTTCTTTTTTTCGTGTATCATATATCATTCACGTATGTTTAGATTTCTGCTCGGAGAAAATGTTGAAGGGATGGGAAGAGGACAAGACGAATATCACATCTGCCGACGATATGTTCGATGCATACATTCAGCTGTATAATGATTGTATTTCCAAAGCTCCAGCCGACATGCACTTTGGTGTTCATCTCTGTCGAGGTGCGTACGAAATGCGGGGTTCTCTCCGAATAACTCTCTCGAACCAATCTCTTTCATTTTTGTACAGGAAACTTCGTCGGCTCCCGCCACTTCAGCGAAGGCTCCTACGACCGAATCGCCACCAAGCTCTTCCAAACCCTCAACATTCACACCTACTACCTCGAATACGACACTCCCCGTGCCGGCGGATTCGAGCCCCTTGCCTTCCTCCCCAAGAACAAATACGTCATCCTCGGCGTTGTAACGTCCAAGTTCCCGGAACTCGAAGACAAAGAGGAGATGAAGCGCAGGGTGTATGAGGCTGCGGAAATTATTGCCAAGGGAAACGGAGAGACCAGGGAGGAGGCGTTAAGGAGGATGGGAGTGAGTCCGCAGTGTGGGTTCGCGAGTCATGAGGGGGGGAATTTGATTGACATGCAAGGGATGGAGAATAAGTTGAAGTTGGTGAGGGAGATTGCGGATGATATTTGGCCTGGGGAGGCGTAAGTAGGAGTCAACAAAATCAAGTTTCAACATACTCGCATTACTAGTTTAGGTTATAATATTTACCATGTATGTATACTAAATATCTGTTGTGGAAGGTATGTTTCGGAGATGATTTGAAATATTTGCAAGTCCTTCCAAACTCCTGGGATATGTCAACAACGTATTTGATCAGCAGCTATATTTGTGTACGTAGGACGTCATATCAGAAAAAAATGTGTGGAGTCTACATGACATCACACCTCCATGGATTCTGAAGGATCAATCAAGTACTTGGGAACTTGTGGCCACATATATAAGCCAGATCTTTTTCAATCTGCCCACCATCAACCACGAGCATCTTCCATTTTGTACTCGATACAAGACTGCCATGAGTGCGCCCATGACATATTTCAGGTAAACTCAATGCAATTCATGACTGCTACTTACGATGTTTATTTTTTACATATTATAGTAACCGGCAAAGTGCAAAGTTAGTCTCCAATTTGAGTTTGTCTCATTGTTATCAAAAACCCATCAACTGACTGAGAACGTATCTTGTCTCTTGCCATAATCAAGTGCTATATTCCCAAATGCACACAATTTCACAGTGTGCAACAGCACCTTCAATGCATATGAAGGGGATATTTAGTCAAACAAATGCATAAGATGGTGCATGTAGTGCTCAAAATCTTCCCCCTCCAGACATACTTCCAAATGATGAAGAGAAAAAACTTCAAGAATGGCTTAGTGCCCCAAACTCCTCCATCAATTACACTACAGCTTTGAATAAGAGAACACCTGGAACAGGGGTATGGATCTTTGATCATCCAATTTACAATGCATGGAGAGAGGAACATGGAATTCTATGGATTCAAGGCAAAGGTGGGTAGCAATGATATGGGATGACTTTTTGATTATTTACAATGATTTCAACATGACAAGCTGGATCAGGAAAGACAGTTCTACTGTATGTTGTCAGCAATTCTCATGGACAGTGTTACTGAAAATCAGCTATTACTTTGAATAGTTCCACCATAATTGAAAATCTCAGCAAAAATTCCCCAAGTCAAGTTTTTTATCACTACTTTGATGTGCGTGATAATACTGGGATTTTTGTTGTCACTGGTGTATTCAATGGGGTTCCAAGATGGTAGAGTGCACTTTTCACTCAATGATTTGCATGAGCAGTCCAAAAAACCACAGCCAAAAGCACAACCAAGCAACCTGAATTTGGAAAATACCTTGAAAAAGATGATTGATGATTTTGTGCAAAAAAACCATGAAATATGTGTTGTCATTGATGCACTGGATGAGTGCACAAATCAATCCCTTGTATCTGACCTCATACAGAGTATTTCTGATCATATCTGGGTTGTTATCACAAGCCGAAATCAACCTAAATATGCAGAGACCACTGGCAGCAGAGTGATATCATTGGATAATAACTTCAAGTTGAATCAGGATATTGACCTTTACTTGGAAGCAAGACTAGGAACACTTGCATTCAGTCACAATTTACATGCTGAAATCAAAGATGCACTTGAAGAAAAAGTTAATGGAGTGTAAGTCATCCATGTGCATTATTAACATTGGGTTTGAAATCTAACTTGAATGACAATATCAGTTTCCGTTGGGTAGATTGTCAATTGAATGTATTGGAACAATGTGCTACACCAAAATTAGTCCGGAAGGCATTACAAACTTTGCCTCCAGACTTGGAACAGACATATACACAAGCTGTTCAAAGATGTAAAAGAAGCCCCAACTCAGCACAGGCACATCATATTCTTCTGTGGCTTTTGCATGCTTTTGAGCCTTTAACCAACAGTCAGGCCTCTGCTATTGTTTTGGTTGATT